GTTCTTCCATGAATGGAGTTTCGATCAAAATCTGACCGGATTTAAAATTTGAAACATTGAAAATTATACAAATGCGCGCGCGTGTGTACAGTATCTCGCGACCGAGATAACTTGGCAAATATTGACGGACGGAATAAAACGGTGGAATCAAGCGCGAATAATTTCGCGATTCGTACGTACGGATGTAAGCGTGCGTGTAAATAAAAAGTGGTATTGCGTCGACGGGCGAGAGAGAGAGTCCGTCGGTGTGGATTCTGGTAAAATTATGCGTTCCATTTAAATTTCTCGGGGGGCGGAGAGAAATTTATATCGCGGGCTGGGACGCTGTACGCCGAGTGAACGAAAATATTCGGACACTGAAGTATCGTTGACTTTGACGCTCCGTATATTTGTTGCCCGTTGGAAGAAAATAAAGTTGAAAACCTTTTCGTTCCCCATTTTTTATTATTTTTTTTTTTTTCGTTTCTTTTTCCCCTCTCCTTTTTTCCTTTTCACCGTTCGATCATTCGTGACTCGAATGAAACAAAACTCGTGCACCCTACTGAAATTATTTACAGAGAATTTACTCGACCAAGAGATCCAATATAAGTCGAAATGCCGAGCGATTTTCCCCTTCCTCTAACTTATTCACCGTGTAATCCTGCGCGAGCAATCGAATCGTAATCTTATTCCGTAATCGAAATTTTCCAGTAAACAGTGGGGGCGCAAACACGTAAAATTGGAAGGTGAAAATTTAAAATTGCGCGAACAAGTATTCGAGCATTGCGAACAGCTCCGAGACACCGCACGACCAACTTGCCCCGGTCGGTAGCCAATTCTCTCTCTGCATAATTTATCCTTCTCTCTCCCTTGATTCTTCCTCCCCAACGCTAGAGAGGCGTTCTCGCCCACGTGAATGGCGTGGCCACTCGTTCACCGAGATACACTCGTAAATTTTCAACGCGAATACGCATTGAACAACGACGACCAATGGCGTATTATATTTATACGTACCCACGCGTGGCGATGATCGGCCGTGATGCGATGAATCGTAATCATAAATTTGAAAATTACGAGGCTGACGCCGCGGAAGATTCCATACGAGACACTCCTCGGCCGAGCTTTTTAAAGATCACGAGCGGCGGGCAAATTTATGCGATATTTTTTAGGAGAGATCGGAATACGAGTATAAATAATTCACAACAAGTGGATTATTGAATTCGAGATTCAGAGATACGAGTTTGTTTTATCACCGAGCGACGTTTCGTATACCGGAGGCAAGATTGGAATTCAACTTTGAAAGAATACAGGAGGGAAAAAGTTTGAATCGCAGCGATCGATCATTTCAAGAGCTGCCTTCTTCCAACAGGAGAAGAAGTTCGAGTTTACGATCGGCTCCAACTTTGGGGCAAAATTTTACCGAATTATCCTTCCGAAGAATCATCGCATTTTGTTCGAGGCAGTCGAGTAAAGTCGAAACACGGTGTCGAAACGAACGCGCGAGACGAAACTCACTCACGTTGCGCCCATTGCTCGGCGATGATACTCGGTGTTGATTTCACCATGAGCGATGGTGCTCGACGATTCGCTCCAACTCGAGCTCGAAATGAAATTACATCCAGCATTGAAATCCCCGCGAGGAATCAGAGAGATGAAACGATTCTTGACTTTAATCCACGCGTAACGAACGAGCCAATTATCACCTAATTTCCCACGTCTCGTGACCCATTCCCTTTCCGCATAATTAATCGATCTTCCTCTGCGAATCTTCGTTCACCACCGTGGCGAGGAGTGTTTGCAGGCCGGGATGACGTAGCGCATCCGTGAAATTTCCGATACGCACACCCACTATCCCACGATACCGTGTAATTCGGCTGTATACCCAGCGACCGTCATCCCTCTGACACGCATTCCCCATTGATTTTCCCCGTTTCACCGAGTTCCAAGCGATCCGTCCAACCGGCCGCATCCACACGTTTGCCCGGGCAAATAGCAAACGGTATGGACAGATGCGCTCCGCACACACGCTAGAAACATCTTATTAGAACGAATCGTCGTCGTGCACCGAAAATGGAGCGTTTCCCCGCAAGAAGGGATAGTTTTTGCGATAACGAAGTGGTTCGAAAGGTGCGGATCGAATTCTAATCAATTCCCTTTGCCTTTGTCCCACACGGATCACTCCTTCTTAAAATTTTTTATGCAAACACGGATCGTTCTTTTCTTTCTTCTCGCCTGCGTGGTCGCTTCTATCTCGTCATCGGCCGGCCATCTTGGTAGATAACGAGGTTTACGATCCTTTTCTCGATCATCTCGAGATAATAAACTCGGCGGAGAGAAAGAAAGGAGAGTAGATACTCTGTGCCACGCCTCGATGGACCCCGATATCGATGAGTTATTTTTACGGCGGCTCGAGTTCGACGAACTTTGCCGACAACTGCTTGCAAGAGGACGGGTTGATTAAAACGAAGGGCAACTCTCCGGTTTTTCAAGATCGGGGGGAAAGTTGGGAGGAAGTTTTTCGAACTGAAATTCGATTATCGAGTCGATCTGGTAACCGATCTCGAGTCAGAGAGAAAAAAAAAAATTAATGCGATGCGTGAATCGAAATGCGGGATACGCGC